CAATATATATATATATATATATATATATATTATTTTTCATGTTTACATAGTTTAAGAAAGGAAAGGAAAAAAAAACTCCTTCAATTTGAATTAAAACTTATCATATTTTTATTAGACTCACGAACTGATTCGTTTATTTGTAGATTTAACAGGTCAGATACAAATTTGAGTTTTTGATTATTTATTTTATGAATTAAACTTATCTGACTCATTAAAGCTTTGCAAATTGAACATTAGACAGATTGAATCGATTCATGTGTCTCACCTTAATATTGATCTCAATATTATTTATAAAATTATGTTTTAAATAATTATGTATTCATTTTAATTTGATATTGTGTTTATTTTAATTTATATTATGAAAATATTTTTTAATTATAATTTTATATTTATTAATTATAAATTTTAATTATATATAATGTTAAGTCTCAAATAAATAACCTTATTAATAATTCACTTAAAGTAAAAATAAAGATAAATTTATATCAAACATTAATACTCTTAAAATACATTTAAATTATAGAATTTATTTTATATTGCAGTTCAATTATATATGTAACTTGATAGGTTGATATATTGAGTAAATATCTTACACTTACATATTAGAAAAATGAATTATTTAGTAAAAAGAATTATTTGGATCAACAACAATCATGAAGGCATAATATATTTGATACAATAAAATGAAAATATCTGTGACAAAAATAAATTAATCAGTTATACATGTTATCACGATGAAATGTTTTAATTAGACGATAATTTTTTAAATATTAATAATTATAAATTATAAAAATATAATTTATATATTAAAACTATTTTTTATAAATTTTAATTATAATTAAATATATTAAAAATATTTATTATAAAGCTATTTATATAAAATAAATAATTATTTTATGCATTATATAAAATAAAATTTATTTTATATTTTGAATAAAGTAAAGATAAAGGAAGAAAAACACATATGTTGGGTTGTTGGCAAGCAAATGAAGGGTGGTGAGCATGTGGCAGGTACGTGCGAAACTTCGGAGTGGATAAAGGTGGTGGCGGACGAGTGGACCGCCAACACACGTCCCCATCTTCACTTTTCTATTTCATGCACAGTTGCACTCAAGTTTTTTTTTTCAAATATTTTTTTTAGTGAATAAATAAATATATACTTATAAATATTTTTTTTAAATAATAAATATGTTTATTAATTTTACTTAAAAATAATAAATTTTTTATTATATTTATTTATTATAATTATAATATTTTAAATAATAAATATAAATATAAATATAAATTGTGTTTTTATTATCATATTTATTGTTATTATTTTTATTTTATTATATATATATATATATATATATATATTCACCTATTTTAATTTAAATTAGTAAAGGATGAGATACTATGTACATCTTAATTATTTTTAAAAATAAGCAATAATAGATTAGTTAATTATCTATACTTATATATAAAAGTGATTATTTATTTTTGTGTACACAATTTTTGAATTGTTTTATCTCTAAATTTTTAAATAATAAAAAATAACATTAAAAATTAATTATTCTTACAAATTCAAGATCTTAAAATTTAATGAGTAAATATAATATCAAACAACATCTATTTTTTAACTTTCACACACTTATCTTCTTTTCTCTATTATTTTCCTCTACTTCCCTTTTTCCCAAACATACCTTTAAGAATTAAGAGTAAAATAAAAAAGTGTAATGATTTACCTTATCACTACACTTGTTATGGTCCAATAACATGGAGTAAACTTATGATACAAAAATAACATCTTACAACTGCACACAACATAAATAATTTAAAAGGAACATCATTTATTACATCATATCATGTTTTGTCATGCAACTTAAAATACCAAAATACTCGTATAACTTGAAAATTTTCATTATAGTTATTAAACAATACATCATTTACATATAATATTATTTTCACATCACTCATCTTACAAGTCCTCAGTAACAATATTAAGAAAGAAAAAAAAATGTTAAACCTATTAATTAATATAAATCATATCTTCTTCTTTCTAGATCGGAAACACAACTCTATGCATGAAGAGTTAACTTCGAGAGCTAAGAATCGTCATTGAAGGCAAGTAGCTGGTTAAGTTTTTATTGTACACAAGTTTTTGAAGATGATAATATATATTGCATAAAGTATAGACACGTAATTATATTAAAAATGATATGTTTTAGTATTATATTAAGAAATTTAAAAGTTTTAATAAAATTTAAAATATATATAATATTTTTTATTCAATTTATTTTTATATCATCGTTTATTATTTAATTTTCGTTTCCTAACAAAATTA